CTGAGCAGTAGCACAGGGGAGATGCTGTTTCGTGCCCCACGGTGAGGGCTCGGGGTCTAGCGCTCCAGTCGCAGCAGAGACAGAGGATGGAGCACGTTGGAGCCTTATCTTGCTCCTAGAGGGCGCCTCGCCCAGGCACGCTAGGAGATCACAGCCCAGTCCCTCACCCGCGCTCTGGGCACGTGATCTGGAGCCGGGTTTGCTCACAGCTCAGCTGAAGGAAAAGCCGGAGTCAGCAGACAATTGACTCACACGCTGCTGAGCAGCGGAGGGGGTCTGGGTCGCAGCCAGGACTGAGGCTGTCCTGGCAGGGCCCCCCAAAACGCAGCCGAGGGCAGGGGCTGGCAGCTTTCCAGCTGGCAACACACCCATCTGGGAGCCGGCCATGCCCTACACGGGATCCCCCTGCGATTCGGGGGACAGCAAGGGGATGTCGGGGAGAACATTGTAGCCTTAGGGAAGTCACGCCCCTTTGTGCCTCAGTGTCCCCCGATGTATGTCGCTAAGTGAGGACGTTAGCCTGAGACACCAATGTAGGAATCCCCTTGCTCCAGCAGACTCCCTGGGTGACCTTGGGCGAGTCAGGCTGCTTTTCCGTGCCTCAGTTTCCCCATCTGTGCAATGGGGATCATAGGCCCTCCCTGCCTCCCAGGAGGATCAACACATTAGAGCGTCGGTGGGGAGAGACGTAGCTAAGGCAGACACAGCCCCCGTGCCTCAGGGCTGCCACCGAGCTAACTGCGGGCTCAGGGCGAGACGGGAGGGCGGGTGACCCCCACACTGGTTACCGGGGCCACACGCGTTAACCACAGGGGTTAGCGGTCTCCACGGCAGCACCGAAACCCGGACAGTGGGCCAGATCTGCGGTCACCCGGCCAAGCTGGATCCATGGGTTTCCCCATGTGGGAGCGGGTCTGAAAGCGCTCAGGGGCTTGCGCTTCACCCCAGAGGTGGCTGCATTTCAGTGGTGGCCCGTCCGCCGCAGGAGATCGCGGACAGAAGTCAGCCGCTGGTAACCGTAGGGCGGTGCCACTTCCCGAGTCTAGGGGCACGTCTACACTACAAATTTAGCTCGACTTACAGCGGTTTTTAGTGTCCACGCTGCCCTCCTTCTGTCACGGGTGCGTGTCCTCACCAGGAGCACTAGCACAGACAGAAGAGGGGCAGTGTGGGGGGCTGAGAGCCAGGGCGGGGAGCCCTCCACCCACCCCAGGGCGACAGCCCCAGCTGTCTGGGGTTCACAGCAGGGAGCCGACCAGCCTTTAACTGACGAGGATGACAGCTAGGGATGCTGCGTGTCCCTGACCCCACTGACAGAAGCACCCCCCAACACCCAGTTCTGCCCCCCTGCGTCAAGCGCCTGCTCTAGCCACTCCAGAGCCAGCGGCGACTTCGGACAGATTGGCCTCCCCGTGCAGGCAGGGCAGCCAGCAGACCACGCTGTGTATGGGCAGCAGGCCTGAGAACTGTTCTCTTTTGCGCCCACTTACACTTTTGGCCTTCGCAACATCCCCTGGCAAGGAGTTCCGCAGGTTAGCTGTGCGCTTATCATGGACATACAGCTAAGGGTAGCACAAAATCCCTCTCCTCTTATTTGTATGGACCCTGCTGCCCATTCCTTCGGTGGGTGACCCCTGGTTTGTGTGTTGTGTGGGGCTAAATAACACTTCTCTCGTCACCTTCTCCACCCCAGTCGTGACTGTATAGACCCCCCCGCCGTTCGCAAACCAGGTTCGGCCAGGGCGCTGTCACTGCCCCACACAGGGAGCGGGATGACCGGGGCTGTTCGTCCTAGCTCCTTCCCAGATTGGACAGCGGAGGCAGAAGGAAGCAATTTACACGGTAGGGCCTAGATTACATTGCAGTCACTTGTGAACTGTGACGTGAGAGAAAGCTCACCAGGGCCTGGCCTCTCCTTTCAGGCACTACCCATTTCCCCGCCCGAGGAACGGCGACCCGACGGCATTCCTCCCACGACCTCCAGCACCCTGGCACCTGCAGTGCGGACACACCCCAAGCTAAGCCCTCAGCTGCTCTGAACAAAGGCAAAACCGGACTGAGCTCGCCGCTCCAGGCTTGGGAACGTTTCGGGGGGGGGAGTCTAAAAACAGGAATGAAAACATCCCTCAGTGAGCAGAGAAAAGAAACCTTTAAACACAGCCTGTGATGAAAATAAACCAAGGCGCCTTCGACTCATAGGCTCCTAAACCGACCTGGTTCCCCTTTACGCCGCCGGTGCTTTTCTCGGTAGGTCTGAAGCAGCGCTGGGTTTTCCAGTACAGCTCGTTAAGAGCTTGGGATAAAAAACTTGCAGCGTGAAATCCCCGGCCTTGCCTTACAGCCCGTGACAGCTGGTGGATTGGCGGCACAGAAAGCTAGGCGACTTTAGTGTTGTTTTGGCAACAGGCCTTGGGCCCGGAGAGAGGCAGAGTTACAAGAGGAACAAAACGGCAGTGCCAACCGGTTTCTGTCTGCGTGGAACACACGCCGGTTTACGAGGGGGACGCGAGCCAGCGCGCTGAACAAGGCACCATCAGAGCGGATAGGATAAAGGAGCCCAATTCTCTCAGGGCTCCCGTTCCAAGGGTGTCTTTGTGGGCAACCTAGCTCCTGTCCCATGGCGGAGCGGGACCTCTGGAGCGCGGACGTGGCCTACGCCAACCTAGTGCCCATCCCACGGCGGAGCGGGGCCTCTGGAGCGGAGACGTGGCCTACACCAACCCAGCTCCCGTCCCACGGCGGAGCAGGGCCTCTGGAGCGCGGACGTGGCCTACGCCAACCTAGTGCCCGTCCCACGGCGGAGGGGGGCCTCTAGAGCACGGACGTGGCCTACACCAACTGAGCTCCCATCCCACGGCAGAGCAGGGCCTCTGGAGCAGGGACGTGGCCTACGCCAACTGAGCTCCCGTCCCAGGGCGGAGCGGGGCCTCTGGAGGCAGACGTCGCCTACGCCAACCTAGCCTGGAGCCTGCTCCATCTTCTCCAGGTGAATTAGGAGTTTCAGCAAGTACCCCGCCCCCGGCTCCCTCAGCCCCCTATGCTTGGGGGTTTGCCATGGCATTCTCCCAAGTCCAAATATTGCTTTCACCGTCAGAAATGAGCAAGAGCCCCCGCGAGGAACAGGAAACAGCCTGGGGGAAGGGAGGCGTGCCACCCGGCAGGGAGCTGCGGGAGGCACCGAACGAAAGGGACAGAGAAAAACCCCACCCCGCCCCCCCACACGCAGTGTTGACACATGTCATCATCTGCCCACCGCAAAGCTCTTCGGAAAAGGGAAGAGAGCAACTTCTTCTCTGTTTGACAGAGAACGCAGCGCCACAGCCAGCGGAAGTGCCTGGGCTGAGATCACCCAACAGATCAAAGGCAAAGCTAGGAATGGAACCCAGGAGTCCTGGCTCCCAGCCCCCCCGCTCTAACCCACCAGCTCCCACTCCCCTCCCAGAGCCAGGGGGAGAACCCACTCCACTGGCTCCCACTCCACTGAACCAGGCCAACATTACATCAACTGACCTGTTACCTGTACCAACAGAACGTAACAAAATGGGTTGGAAATCTGCTCACTGTGACTGAAGGGGAAGTCCCCAGGACCCAGCCTTACCACTCACCCCCAGAGCTCCCCAGAACGTGGGTCCTCTGCGGGCCTGGGTGCTCCTGCCACCCCCCGAGGGACCACACCCAACAGCTACGCCCCTGCTCAGGCCCCAGCCCCGGGGATCAGGGCTCAGCAACTGCACAACCCTTAGCAAGTCAGCTCAAACAGGGCGAGATTCGTGCGAAGCAGCTGTACAGGAAGCAGCCTGGCACGAGTATCGTAAACAAAGAGGAGGGCAAATCACCGGGGTGCTGTGAAATCTGGGACCAAGGGACTCGCGTGGCGAGACTGCAAGGGGCGCTCCCCACAAACCGGTCGCCGGGTGTCATCCTCCCTGCCCTGACAAAGCACCCACGCCAAATCCGACACATCTTAAATCCAGCTCAGTTGAACCCATCCAGGCGAGTGCCCCCAGGAAGAAAAAGGGGCTGGCCTGGGAGTTCAGTTCCTGCATGATCTTGGGAAAGTCATGTCAGCCCTGCCTCGGTTTCCCCATCTGTAAAATCCCTTTGCCTTGTCTGTAGGTTGCCTCCTATTTGCACAATAGGGCCCCGATCTCGGGGTGACCGTAATACCCATCTCCAGTCCCATAAACGATCCACGAAGTCACCCGTTTCAGAGCCGTTTCCCTTCCAGGTGACTCAACGCCGCAACGTTTGCAACTTTCTTTGTTTGCAGGAGAGACGCTCGTGTAGCAGATTCCGACCCGACTCTCGCAAAGCCAGGACGAAGGGACGGCGACCGGGACAAAGAACGCCAGGCCCCTGCTGTGAAAGAGACCCGGGCACAGGCCCGTGACTGGGGCACAAAGGGCCGTGTGTCCGGACCCCCGCGGCCCATCAGAACGGCATTGTCCTGGCAGCTCTGGGCCCAGCAGGAACCGACGGGACGAGGGTGCTGTGGCGGGCGGCGCGGGGGCCCCGGCCCGGGCAGTGCACCCCACAGCAGGGAACGGGGCTGCTAGGGGCCCAGGAGCGGCTGGGGGCAGAGACGGGGGGGGGGGGGGGGGGGGGGGGGGGGGGGGGGGGGAGGGGGCGGGGCCGGGGCGCCCAGGGGCTCAGCCCAGGCACGGGGGCGTGGCCTGGCAGGGCGATATGATGACAGGTGGTAAAAGGGGCGGGGCCTGTCGCGATGGGGGCGGGGCCTGGGGGAGTCTCCACACAGAACAGGGGGCTAAGCAAGGGAGGGGAACCAGGCAAAGGAACAAGGGGCGAGGCCGGCGCGAGGGGTTCCGTTGGAGGGGGCGGGGCCGGCGCGAGGGGTTCCGTTGGAGGGGGCGGGGCCGGCGCGAGGGGTTCCGTTGGAGGGGGCGGGGGCCCGGAGCGAGGGGACCCGTTGCAGGGGGCGGGGCCGGCGCGAGGGGTTCCGTTGGAGGGGGCGGGGCCCGGCGCGAGGGGCGGGGTCTCACCGGCCTGGGTGGTGTCGCTCAGGTCCCAGCGCCGCGCCGCGCCGCCCGGGAAGAGCCGCAGCCGCCGCCCCGCCAGGCTCAGGCTGCCCGAGGCCGCCGCCTCCTCCAGGGCGCGCTCGGTGGCGGGCCCGCCGGGCGAGGGGGGCGGGGGCAGCTCCGGCTCCGCCTCGCCCGCCGCCATCCCGGGACCCGGGGGCTCCGCTCGCCGCGGCCGACGCTGCCAGACTGACCGGCTGAGGCCGCGAGGGGGAGCCTGCCCCAGCCAAGGGGGCGGGGCTGGGAGCTCCGCCCGGGCCAATCAACGGGCAGAGGCGGGGCTCGCGGGTTACCAGCCAGTGGCGCCTCGCGGACCTCTCCGCTCGGCCAATCGGGCTTTAGGAGGGAGGGGCCTAATGCTACACGGCAGCCAATCCGCTCTGAAGGGGCGTGGCCTCTGCATTGGCCTCACCCAATCACAGGGCCTTCGTGGGGCGGGGCATCTAGGACAATTCAGCCAACCACCTAGCAGGAGGAGGGCCGTATCAAGAGCTCAGCCAATCACATCGGGGAAAGGACTGGGCCTCTTGCCTCGCCTCAGCCAATGGCAGTGTATACCCCAGCAGGCGGGGCTTGAGTTCTAGTATTGACCAATCACAAGGCTCGCTTGCTCCAAACCATTCAGATCAGAAGCTGTGGGGAACGCCTCACCTGATTCAGCCAATCACACTAGGAAAGGCGGGATCTTCGTACGATTGACAGTACATCTGCCTATCAGAACACGACTCCGCAGGCACCTGAGTCACACGGCGGCAACAGTTGAATGCGTGAACTGCCTGGTGCGGGGGGCGGAGCTGTTTCAGCGGCTCAGCCAATCACATGCGGTAGAATGCGGTGCACGATATGAGTGACGACTTGACTGGCCAATCAGTGGGAGACTCCCTTCCGGGTGGCGGTAAGGGCCGTGAAGCGAGAATGACAGCCCAGCTGGCCAATCAGAGCGCGAATCACCTCAGGGGAGGCCGGAGACGCGAGTAGCGAAAGACAGACCAGCTGGCCAATCTGAGAAAGAATCACGCCGGATAGGCGGGCACTGAGAGGAGACTGACAGCCCAACTAGCCAATAGCAAGAGACGGTGATGTGAAAAAGGGACGGGTCCTAATATTAAGAGACCAAGACTACCTGAGGCCCATCCCCCTCTCGTGCGAGGCACCAGGAGGAGGAGAATGTTCCCCTCTCGTGCGAGGCACCGGGGGGAGGGGAATCGTTCCCCTCTCGTGCGAGGCACCGGGGGGAGGGGAATCGTTCCCCTCTCGTGGAAGGCACTGGAGGGAATAATTCCCCTCTCGTGCGAGGCACCGGGATGAGGATAATCGTTCCCATCTTGTGCGAGGCACCGGGTGGAGGGGAAGTGTTCCCCTCTCGTGCGAGGCACCCAGCAGAAGGGGAATCGTTCCCCTCTCGTGCAAGGCACTGGAGGGAATCATTTCCCTCTCATGCGAGACACTGGGGGGAGGGGAATCATTCCCCACTTGTGCGAGGCACTGGAGGGAATCGTTCCAAATCCCACTTCAAGCCCCAAGGCTGACCCAGAGAGGACCCCAGGGTGGCACTAGGGGGCGCTGAGCTGTGGGCAGCAGGGTGGGTTGCAGCAGGGGGCTCTCCCCCCCAGCAATCAGGGCTGGCGCCATGACCCTGTGGGGCAGTGCCCAGGCAGCAAGGCCTGGCCCAAGGTCACAGTGGGGTGGGGTGGGGTGGGGCGGTGCCCAGGCAGCGGGGCCCGGCCCGAGGTCACAGTGGGGCGCTGTGGGGCGGTGCC